AATGAAAGAGTAAAAGCAAAGGGAAACAGGTGGGAGGAGAACAGAAGCAAAACCTAGAGGAAATTAATCCAGCTCAGAGCCTGGTGCAGGAATTTTAACAAATAATGTGACTAAACCATAATCATTTCTGCAAGGAGGGGTGATCTGAGACATTGGCATCAAGCAGGTACCACATGTGCTAAGTGGCTGGTTTACTGTGGGGTATCCCTGGTTTTACTGCATTTATCCCAGCCCATGCCTGCAAAAATGTCCAAGGCTGAAATCCAGTAGCTGGCTCGGAAAAAACCACTGTCATGTAAATTCCAGAGCATGAGATGGGGTGTGGGATGCTTTGGACCAGGAACAGGCTGTCAATTCTTGCAGGTATCCACCTGTCCAAGAGCAACCTGCCTTTCCTCCTGGGGAAGCTGTGGCTCAGAGAGAGCCTTGTTCCCTCCCCACAGCCCTCAGCTCCCAGGCAGAGCTGGACATGGCAGGATTTTGGTATTTAAGGAAGGGAAGTGGTCCCTTCTTGCACTGGAGCGTGGCCAAAAGGAGGGGAGTGGCTGTGTCTGCACTGAAATTGATGCCTTAGGATTTTAGCTTTGATATTTTTCCTGCTTTTGTAATCCTGCAGTTCTTTAGTGTGTAACTCTAAACTCCATAAAGAGTGTTAGCTACTGCTTTTCCATTTTGGTCAGACATAATAGTTTCTCTCTAGGCCTGAGAATCAAGGACACCTCACCATCTCAGGCCCTGAGAAATGTAAACAAAAGTGAGTTGGGGGAGGAGCAAACTTGGAGTAAATTACTTCATTACTTAAACTGTAATTGTAAGATTAACACCCAACAGGCAAATGAACCAAACTTATAAAAGAAAACCCATGACCCATTGTCCATTTTGGGTGTATTTTGCTTTGTCTGCCATAAATGTACCTGAAGGCCCTTTAAAAAATATGAAGGCTTTTTAATTATCTTTATTTTGTCTAGCCTCTGTGCTTTTTAATTGTCTTTATTTTGTGTGGCCTCTGTTTTTAGGTAAGCCCAAAAAGGCATCTGAATAATCAGCATGAGGCAGAACTGGAGGCACAGCCCTGCTAAGGCTGAGGACCAAGTGCACATCCTGCAGCAGAGGAAAATTGCAAAATGTTCCCATTCTGTGTGAGGACAGGTAAAATAACCTCCTTTGTGGGGAATGAAACACCCCTGGCTCCGAGCTCTGATCACCCTCTTTGGATGGAGGCCATGGAAAGAACTCATAGTGACATATGTCTAACACTCTGATTTTCAAATGATCTGAAAATTACTGAAGTGCCTTCTGAAATCAGGGCTCTAGCAGTGTCTGGATCTCAGGTGAGACACTGCTGGCATTTGTCCTGCTGCTGGTCAGGGGACACTGGGGGATGTGGGGAGCCTGATCCCTGCAGTCTCTGCCCCTACATTTCCTCTGGAAGTTTAGACTTCATTTGGTGCAGCTTTTACAGCACTGAGAGGAGCTATAAAAGGAAGTTTCTGTAAAGTGATGCTGCAGAGAGATTAAAAAATCCTTACATACAGATGGAATGATGTGAGGAATGATGTATTTCCACACCAAAGTTGCATAATCTCAGGCAAATTAATGTTTAATGAGTTGACTTACTCAAGATTTGTAAGTCCCACTTCAGGCTTAATCTCTTTGCTCCATTGGCTTTAATTAAACTCATCTGGATTTTAGGAGTTTTGGTGAGCTCTTTACAAAGCAAACTAAACAAACTAAGCATTGCTCATGTGGATGAATTACTCTGAATTCCCCATTTTTGCTCTTTCAAGTGATCTTGTGAACAAAGAAATTAGTAGTAAATGTTTGCAGATTATTGCAGTGAATGTATTTCTCTTGTCAGGATTGATTAAAGGGAAAAGTGGCTAAATTCTGATTTTTATCAACAATATGCCTCTGCCCAGAAGTCTTGGTAAGCATGAAATGAGGAATTGAGCACCCTGCTTTCATTGTCAGACTCTGGATCTCAGACAAAAACTCTTTCCAGAGTCTGTATCTGATAAATTATTGGAAACCAGAGTGGCATTTGAGGTGCCTGGATAAAGAGGCAATAAAAATATTTTCTATTTATTTACACTGAAAAATATCATATACTGTACTGTCAAGTCTGAAAAATTGATGCTTCTGACTTCACAAATATTCAGCAGCCTAATAGAAATGTCAGATGTGTGTGGTTCTGAGAGAGGAAAAGGAGAAAGAAAAGAAACAATCAGCCACATAACAAATGTTCATTTATTTTCATCAGATTTGATACTTCATCATGCAAGTGATAGATCCAAAGACCGAGAAAGTGTATAGACCTTCTTTTTTTTTATTATTATTTCAGTGATTTTTGATTAAGCACTATAGAATAGCAGGGTTGAGTTGCAGCTATTTAACATCACCAGTTCTTGCTGGAAAATTGGTGTCCTATGGATGGAGATTTGTGCTGTCAAAAGCAAGAGGCTGGGGCTGCCTTCCAGCAAATTCTAACAGGAGGAGCATGTGGGTTTGGGGATCAAGGAGAACAATTTTGGTTCTGCAAGATTTCCTCCTGTTCATGTGCAGATTGGAGAGCTGTGTTATGAGTGGGAGAGGGAGAAATCTTCTACCCTTTCATTATTTAAATTTATTTTTTTTTTAAACTTACTGTTTTCTGCTTTAGAAAGGAGAAAAGAAAGACACATAATAGTGGGAAGGATGAATGGAATTTGTATCTGTTTAGCTGAAATTGCAAAGTGTAGTAAAAATGGAAATTTTGAACGGGAGGGTCCAAATCTGGGAATGTGGAAGCTCAAATACTCTGTTCAGCAAGGAAACAAAGATGGTCCTTGAGGAGCAGCAGCTGGTGGAAATTGGCATTTTTGCAGCCAAGAGCTGCCAGAGCTGGACATTCTGCAGTTGTCCCTTGGCTTCATTACGTGTCCACAGTGAAAACACAAGAATATAAGAAGTCTGAAATTGAAGCCCACTAGGATACAGAAAATAAATATCATTCTTGCTTCTTTCAGTTTCTTTGTAAGCAGCTTTCAGTCCCTGAATTCTAAGCCAAAGCAGCTAAGTTTTATGATGGTCTTTGTTTTCTCTGTAATATCTTAGAACAGATTATCCTTTGGGCAATAGCTGTGTTTTGGTGTAATTACAGAATCAGAGCAAACGCGTGTAAATGAGAAACACGGGGCAGAAACAGCGGGAGGATTTCTGTGGCAAACATCCACGGTGAATATGAAGTGCAGGGTCTTGAGGTCCAAGTAATGGAGCTGTCAGCACCCATTAAGGATGATAAAGTTGCAGCTTTCAAGACCTGGCTGTGAGGAATAGGAAGAATTGGATATGCATTAAAAATGCAGCCCCAGGGGGCTGGAGCAGTCCCTGCATGTTCTGCTGTCCTCAAAGCACAGAAGGAGATTCAGATCTGTGGAACAAAACAAATTTCAGAGCCCTGGACTTCGGGGTCTGTTCATTTTCAAGGGGCCATTCATGTACCAGACTGATGTTTGATTATGGTGTTCAGTGGAAGGTTGGACTTGATGAGCTTGGAGGTCTTTCCAAACCTGAATGATTCTAAATTTCAAAAGGAGCGTGGTATCAGAATGTTGAACCAGGTTAAGGTAGTATTTTCTTTTCTGAGGCAAAAGTCACGATTTTACCCAGCCCAAGGAAGTTACCCTATGCCTAAACTGGCCCTGGATGTAGGAAAGGCCAGGACAGCAAAACACTGAGACTGCAACTGTGAAGAAAAACTTTGTTCTTATTCAGGCCTGACTATCACTCTGCCCCATTATGTCAGCATGGAAAAAAAGAGTTAAAATGTCCTTGAATCCCTGGGTACCAAAACACCCCCATCTCTTTAAATAAGAATTGCATTCTCACAGGAAATTGTGCACATGGTTGTCTATTTTTGTATTTGACCTGAACTTGTTCCTAAATCTTGTGGATTTAACAGTAATTAAGTCAGAACATACAAGTGGAGAAATTATTGTCTGTATAACTGGTACTCATTTGCAAAAAAATGAAGTTGCTCATGTAAGAAACAACAGGAAAAGGAAACTGGTCTCAGATGAATGGATATTGCTGTGGCATAATAGTCCCTGATAGTCTGTAACTTTTGTTTGTACAAGCTAAATGGTGCAGTTTTAATTACCATAATGCTCAAATCACTGTAAGGATAATGGGATGTTTGTGTTGCTGAAAATCTATTTATTTTTTTTTCCTTCCATTTTTTTAAGTGGGAACTGATGAGCAGCCATACTGTCATTATCCAGTGGTTCTTTTGAAGAGCCTTGGGATTTGCAGGAGAGAATGAAGGCACAGATATTGTCATGCCACAGTCCTGCTAGAAATAGGTGATTGTGGTGGGTTTTGCTTGCAAGCTTGGGCTTCTAAAGGCAGCATTTTGGTATTTCTTTCTCTGAACATGGATGGCTGCAGACAAAAAATAATATCACTGTGCTGCTTCTGGCTCTCCTGTGCACTGGGTGCCCCTCCCTGCCTCTCCTGTGCAGGTAAAACACTGTAGTACTTAAAAAGTACAATATACTACCTTTGGAAAGAATGTCCCAAGTTAAAAATGGGTGCCATGGAATTTAGGAATATTGAATGGAAGAAAATAGGAAAAATTGAGGCTGGTTATATTGAACTGCCTGGAACTCTGTAGAAATGGTGCTTTTGGAAAAACAGCAGGGGTGCAACAGATAAATAAACCAGCAGCAGAATTGCCAGAAGCTGTCAAATCAAAAGCAGCAGTAAAGCAGAAATATACAGTCAGTATCAGTCTGAATAAGCATTTGTTAAACACACCAAGGACAGACAGACAGTTCTGCAAAGCCATAACATCACTGGTGTTTTCAAAAGATAATTGTTCCTGTTGGTAGCAGCTGGTAGCTGACAATCTGTTCTAATCACTATGACTGTCTTAATCAAATGAGGGAGGAAAAAGAACCATAAAATCATTTTAAGGAAAAAAAACAAAACCAAAATATTACCCTGTTACTTTTGAGTGATGGAGTGATCCTGCCATCCTTTTTTCCCTGGGTTTCCCATAATGGAGTCTGCTAAGAACTGACACAATCAAGAGGTGAGTGCAGAATTTAGGGAAGTTTCAATCAGGTGGGGACCTGACCTGGCTCTGTGCTCAGCCAGGTACTGCTGGGAGCTGAAAACATTTGTAGAAAAACAGTCAGCAGTGGTGAATTCTCACAACTCAGCCTGTTGCAGCTTTGGGAGTGCTGATCCCAAAGGTTCTGGGTTTTATTAAGATTTTTGAAGATGAATGTTGCCTTGTAAATCCACACAAACCAAATGCACAGTAGAGGGATGACAAAACAGCAGAGAGGTTTTAGAGCCTGCCCATAAACAACACTGTCTTATTCCATGTGTGGGTAATGGATGGTATCTGGGACCAGTCCATGTCCATGATTAAGTTTTTGAGTTTTCCAGGTTAGTAACTCTGGGCACTTGTAAGGAACTGTGTGTTCCCTGAGCTGCAAACAAGGACTTAGGAGACAGGTCTGGGCAGCAGTGAAAGAATAACTGCTGGAAAATGACTGGGGTTTCAACTTCTTCCCCTGCCAGTGAATTCTGAGCTGTATTTTATTAAAATTAAAGTAATTTAAGTTGGATGAACTAACGATACTAGAGCATCTTTCTGTAGCTCTCCTATAGAGACTCTCAATTCTGCAGGGCATCTCTTAATACACATGTTCTAATTTCTGCAATTCCTGTGACTCTGTAGGAGCAGGTCACCTGAAATGCTCACAGAATAATCCTCCCCAGCCTCAGACAGGCTGCTTTGATAAGTGTGCTCATGAAGAGCTTTTGAAACAGAAGCCAGCAGCTGCACAGTGCTGCTGCCTCCACGGCATGGGGAATATTTCATCAGCTTCTTTGTAATGTGTGACTTTGTTTTCTACTCTGGGATTATGTCTGATAAGGACAAAACTTTCTGTAGCAGTTGCAGTGAAACTCCAGGCAGAGATGCCTCTCTGTGTGGGGAAAAAAACACCTCTCCAAAAATGTGTGGTTTCTAAAGCCAAGCCAGGTTGAGAGAAGCTGTGCTACCAAATGTGCATCATCAAAGTTCACAGTGCTTGTGGATTTCTTTCCCTTCCTCTCATCCTTTAGGATTCTGAAGCAGCACACTTCAAGGGTTTGACAAGAAAGAGGCAGATATTCCCTTTTGTGCAAATCTGCTTGATGCTTAGGAACACTGTTCATTCAAAAGCTCCATTAAGGTACTCTCCTAGTGGTGTGCCTCTGACAAAGAGAAACAGAATTAGATCCAGAGCAAGGAAGAGGAAAAAAAACATCAAGAAGCCAAGTAGCCTCTTTCAAGCTTGTCACTCCAAAGAATATTGTAAGTTAACATTAATTAATATATCCTGTTAAATAGGGTCTATTGATTTTTATCTAAAGGGGAGAAATGTGTGCAAAAATTCAAATAGGACAGCATAGGAACAGGTTTCCCCTACCAAAAGTTATGTGGCTGTAGTGGGTTTAGCACTGGCTAAAATTGTCAGTTCACTTACTAAAATTATTTACTCATTTCCTGATGTAAGATATGAGTTAGGAGGAGGGTAAAGCAGGCCCAAAACTTGAAAATTATGAAGAAAACTTTATTAACAGAACAAAAAGAATAAGAAGAATCAGAATTAAACATTCAGAACACTTCTCCCCTCCCTACAACCTCTTTTCATTCTCACTGACAGCACAGAGACAAAACCTGGGTTTTTCAGTCAGTTACCACCTCTACAACAGTTTTACATCAGGTCTTGTAGGGAGAGGAGTTTCTCTTGCTATGCCATGGAGACTTCTCCACAAGAAACTGTTCTCCTGTGGCTTCAGTGTGACAGCAGATCAGCCACCTGGGAAAGGAAAAATCTGTTTGCAGTGTCAAAGTCCCTCCTATGCCTTGGAGCTGCTTTCATGGGCCATGTCAACTTATGGGGTGCTGTTCTAAGGATGAACTGTTATAGCATAAAAAACCAGAAGTTCTCTTTTATCTCTCCAAACAGAGGCTTTTCTTCTTCTCTCCCTGGGGCAAAGTTTCTCATCTCTCTCTGTTCAAGTTCTCATTGGATTACAGCTTTTCAGCATCCACACGCTCCAGCACGAGTGCCCTTTTCTCATGGGCTGTGGGTGAAATGCTGCATCCCCCCATTTCTGTCCTTCTGTCCACATCTTGGCTGGCTAAAAGCAACAAAATTAACAAAGCCATGCCAAAGTGGTCATGGCTGCATGCTGCTGTCCTGGTTGTGCTGTACAAGACAGCAGAGGCCACCCCAGGCCCCTGGAGTGAAATAGTAAATGTTTCACTTTTGGAGGCAGTCAGGGAAAATAAATCAGTATTTATTAATTTGGGTTTGTTTATCTTTCTAGCTAAGATAATATAGTAATTTGTGCAAATCCAAGAAGTTGCAAATAATAGAGGCAACCTTAAAAGGTCAGGCAGAGTATGGTCCAAGCAGTATTTTCTGCCTCATACATACTTTCTCCCTAATTGGAAGGGTAAGCAGTTATTCTGTGGCTGCTTTTTACACTGTTTGGGTGAAAACACAGTTGGTTTTGGTAAAAACATTGCCATCCTAATGATTGCAGGGCCAGCTGGAAGCTTTAGGATGTTTGTGTCCCTTGCACACATAATAACTTCAACTCTTCTCAATCCTTCTGGTTTCACTGGTGGGTGTCAGGATGACAACCCAAATACCAACATGCTGCTAATTGATTTTTGCAATTTTCAGTGGATATTACCATTTGGGAAGTGGCTCCTGCTACCAACAGGAATGTCAGTTAAACTTGGGATAATTCTTCTTGAATCTTTCATAGCATTTCTATCTCTTCCTGGCTCAGTGTTGTGTGCTGACAGCCACCTGATAGGAATTTAATGGCATTCTTTGAAGGCAGACATGGTAATTTCTGCTCTGTGACTATGCAAAAGGAATTAAAATCACCAGTGCTCAATGGCAGCCTATTTTCAGACATTATATATTAACTTTTTTCATATGTGACCATGTCCATGTGTATTTTCTGACTTTTGCTGTGTCTCTCCTGACTGTGGTGTTTCATTGCAGTCTGGGATTATTTGTTTGGCTGAAGGATAAAGGAGTGGAACGTGGCCATCCTGGGAAAATACAAGGCTGCTTCTGGCTCCTCCTGGTGCATGTGCTGGAAAAATATTAATGAGGAAATAAATGCCTTCCACTGGGCTCACCTGAGAAAGGCCTTGTAAAAATGAGTCAACAAAATGAAATACTGGGACATACTGAAGGAGAAGGATGCACAGATGAGCTGGTGAGAGCTGAGTGTCACTACAGACCTGCAGATCTTTCTTTTAGCTTTTTTTTTTCCCTTTAAGAAAAAAGATGCAAAGAAAGAAAATTAAAATATTGTTTTGCTGGCAATGGTGAGCTGAACCTGAGTTCCTTCACTCATAAACCCATTCAGATCTTTAGGTGTTGTTGCACCATTTATTTTAACTGTTTTACAGTGGAGCCTGTGGATTGAGTTCCACCTGTACCATGTCCTCATGGATCTCCCAGTGACAGAAACCAGGGACCAACCCACTCTTTGATGGAATTGTCTATAATTTGGGAACCTTCTCATCAGGAAGGCAAGTGCCAGCTCAGATTTTCAAATTTCTCTCACAAAATTATCAAAGAGAATATCCTGAACAGGTCTCTTGAATTAAACACAAACAAAACATCTTCAAAATAGTTATCCTTCACGAGCAACACAGAAATCCCAATCTTGTCTGACTCCCTTTTCTCCTGAATGCCTGGCCAGCCATAGAGATGCATTTCAACCTGCCAGAAATCATATTTTCCATCCTTTTTTCTTATTCTTTCTGAAGATGTTTGTTAATGAACCTCCTTGAACACTCACAAAGGAGGATGAAAGGCCAGGGCACTGGGTGGAAAAGCAATGCAGATTGGAAAAGACAGAAAGCGTATTTAATTATTTCTTTTCCTGATCTCAACTCCCTCAAGTAATCTTTAAAAGGATGTTTAAAGCTTCCTGCTAAAACTTTCCTACATTTAACTGTAATAATGAGAATCAGAAAAGGTAGCACTCAAAGAAAAGGGGAAAACTTTCACAACTGATTTCAGCCACTGCTGGTCATGTGTTTGGGGGTGGGTGGGACCTTGAGCAGGGTTCACAGCTATCTTTTTAACTTTGTTTTTATTTTTTAATTTGTTTTGCTTGAATTTCACTTGTTGAGAATGGAAGTCTTCATTTTTTGCCTATTACCTGCCAACCCTCTGAATTCTAAATCAGAATTCTAAATCTGACTATCAGCAGCAGTGAACTGAGCTTTAATTGAGGATGGAGTTTATGATTCTGCCAGTAAGTGAAAGGTGTGGGTTGAAAGAAGGAAGTGGGGGTGTGGGAAAAGTAGAGGGATTAAAATAGTCTTGATCAAGTTCCCAGGAAGTGGCACTGCACTTTGCATGTTGCTCACCACATGGATCACCCTCCCAGTGGAATGATCAGGATTGATTGTTCCTAATGAGAACATAAACCCAGGAAGTCTGGTATCATGCCTACATCAATAACTAATTCCAGTCATTTAAACAGGACATAAAAACCCTGTAATGAATCTACTGATTCCGTAAGGGAAGTGCTGATGTGATATTCTAAATACCAAGACATAATTAATATTCATTCTCAGCCATGCTTTTCTCAGGATTGTTAAAGTATCTTAAATGTAGACCAAGACTGTTACAGGTAAATGTCTTCAGCTTTTTTCAGGGAAGATGGAAATCTCTGGTCTAATGGCTCCTGGTCAAGCTGAATTTTTGATGTAGTAGTAACTCAAGGGCTCAGTTAATTCCTGTATCATCTTAGACCTGAAGAAACAGGAAAAGAGTAAAATATTTCTGGACAATGGTCACTACAATATGATACACAGCTGGAGCAGGGACTAGAAATAGGGTCATCCCTGGGCTTTAGGAACAGGGAATAGGGACAGTATAGTCACAGCTGCCATATATGTCCCTATTATTTACAGTAAAGTTGATGTCAACAAGAGTGAATGATTTTCTCCTTTTGGTCATTGGGTTGGGGCTGGAAAGGACTCTG